CAGTCGCTTAACCAACTGAGCCACCCAGGCGCCCCAGTAATATTCTATTTCTTGAGCTCTACGGTGGCACACAGCTGTTCATCTTATTCATTTTCAAACTGGACACATGTACACCCTTGTGTGTGATACTTTGAAATTTAAAAATATATATTTAAAATATTTTAGGGCACCTGCGTGGCTCAGTCAGTTAAGCGTCTGCCTTCGGCTCAGGTCATGATCTCAGGGTCCTGGGATCGAGCCCCCTGTCTTGGGCTCCCTGATCAGCAGGGAGCCTGCTTCTCCCTCTGCCCCTCCCCGCTGTTCGTGCACTCTTTCTCTCTCAAATAAATAAAATCTTTAAAATCAAATCAAATCAAATATTTTAAAACCTTACGACAGATTTTTGAGGGCAGTAGAGAAAATGACTGACGTTAGTATCTATTGTTTCAAAAAAGTAAACTATATAAAATGTTTGATTTTACAGGATACCCTGAACACCAAAATAAATATATATTTTAAAAAATATATAATCTTTATCTAGCTCATTAAAACAGTGAATGCTGTATCTGCAGACAAGTAGCTGAGGTGTCACCTCCGAAAACCACCATCCTCGGGTTGGGGGTTGGGGGGGTGGGGAGGGAAGCAGTGGATATATTGCCCATTCTGCTTTGCTGAAGGTGCTGTTGGGAGGCACAAAATCAGCAAAGACCTGAACCTTACTCTCTCATTCTTAAGAGGCTAAAAGAAAGTGAAGTAAAAAGTATTCTCTGTTTGGGGCACCTGGGTGGCTCAGTCTGTTAAGCTTCTGACTCTTGATTTCTCGGCTCAAGTCATGATCTCAGGGTGGGGACATCGAGCCCAGCGTTGGGCTCCTCCCTGGGCATGGAACATGCTTGAGATTCTCTTTCTCCCTCTCCCTCTGTCCCTCCCACCCCTAGGGCGCTTGAGCTCTCTCTTAAAAAAAAAAAAAAAAAAAGTGCTCTCTGAGCCTATAATAAAAGGAAAAAAACTTCGTCCATGAATAAAGAAATATCACAAATAAAATGTGAGATACCTAAAATGGCCCCTAAAAACATGGTTTAACATGGGGGTAATGCTGGTTCCATGATGTTCTCTTAAGAGCAGTTAGGAAAGAAGACTGAGGGAAAACAATTAGTGTCCCCACATTTAGCATGCACTTTTAAAACTTTAAGCACGCTGATGTTGGTGACAAAGATTAAATGACATGACCTTGGCATGTTTAATAGGATGAATGTATCTTATTTCTATGCATCTGTTTTTTTTTTTTCCAGTTTCTGAAACAATCTTCCCTTTGTATCCTGTATGACCTAAATAATCAGTTCCTGGCATTTGTTACCTAGCAAGATCTTTACTGCATCTCACTTAAAAAGACATTTAAAAGTGAAGACCTCATCTTTTCTCCCGATGGAAACTTCATAGGCTTTTTGCAGCTCCTTTAAGCTGTTGATCTGGTTGCACAGTTGTTTTAAGTGTGCTGCATGTTTTTCTTTCTCTTTTTTCATTTCCATTCGGTGCCAGTCAATAAAATTAAGTCTCCATTTGCTTAGTTCAGATATGATGTTTGTCTGAAAAATAAATACACCAGCAATTAAGCAGTTTTAACACTGCTTCTTAAAATTACACTGAAATTAAGAAACATTAAAAATAATCAGAACAAGCAATCAACATAAGAGCTATTTATAAAAACCACTAATGAAAACGTTTCCAAGTTCAACAGTCACGGCTCTTCTCAGTTCACATTCACCATACTAGGGAAATGAATTTTTTCCCCCTATTTTATTTTGTATGAAACCTTGTTGTTTAAAAAAAAATTTTCAGGTCTCCTTGACTAGTAAACAGATACTTTGTTTATTCAAGGACTTTGATGTCCATATCAAGATGGATCAGGGAAAGCAGAAATGCAGGGGTGTGGCCTAGGCTCAGCCATAGGAATGGGAAGTTATTTAGATAGAGGCGGATAGTGGAAACCATGGGGCTGATGCTTTCTTCCCCCAAATCATTTATCACAAAGGACATCTTACAACAAATTGCTAAGTCTGATCCCTTTTCACCCTACTGACTGGCATAAGTAAAAATACCAAATAATCATGTTATCAAGGAAACTGGGTAACAATATGATTAACTGAACATAGAACAAATTAAATGACTGGCAGTAGCTCCTCCACTGGACTTGCACCATGATTAGCAGTATGACACCTGTTCCAAGGGGGAAAAATGCTAACAACTATACTAAAAGATTATTTCTAGAACTTATGGTTCCAAATAACAGAGAAATACAAACGCCGTAGAACTCTCATGACCGTAATTTCACTGTGAATGTGAAATCAGTTTTCTCAAACTATGTTTCAGAAAAACTGTCATTTTCTCCATTATGTGTTAAATAGTGCAAAAAAAAAATCCATTTCTGTAATACTTTATTTAGAGGCCAATAATATCACTAAAATAATCAGTTTTTATAGTCTTAGCAGTTACACACTGTGGTTGCTAAAAGCAGCTATAAAATGAATATATGTTGCTAAAATTGGATCTTGTGTTTCATATAAAAGGAGACATTTCCATTAGTCACAGCTATGATAATGGTAAGGGTTCACTACGTGTCTCTGTCACACATACGCTGAGTCTTTTAAAAATATCTGAGAAATGCAGTGGAACACGCAGAGCTGTTCCAGCAACTATTGAAAAGTATGCTATTCAAAGTACAGGTCCTGAACTAACAGAATCCCCTGGGAGCTTTTTAGAATTGCATAATCTTGGGCCCAGGTCAAGACCAACTGAACGACAAGCTGCAGCTTAACAAGATCCCCAGATGATTCGTATGGACATTAAAGACTGAGAAGTACAGATTTAAAACACTGGACTGATCTTCTCAGGAAACTAAAGATTCTTTTCACAAAATCTTTTGATTCAAAGAAAACAGTAAAGAGTGGGATCAAGAGCAGAACTGTTACCCTACATATTAAACGACTGTAATTGAACAAGTGTAATACCTTAAGCCCTGAACTCCAAAGATCCAGTACGTTTTCCATCTTCTGAAGGTTTTCATCCGAAACAAGAAAATCGCTCACAACGATTTCATGGACGTCTGCATGACTAGAAATAGATGCTGGTGAGGAAGAGTCACCTAAGAGGTTAGAACTGAAGAAATCCATGACTGGGTGTGAGGGCTTCCTCGGTGACGACACTGGCGATGACCCTGAAGAGGAGGGAAAGGTGTGGTGGTCAAGTTGGAGGATGGATATAACCCAAATGTAAGGAGTTCTAATGGAGGGTGAGATGTCAGTTACCCACGGAGGCGGAGCAAAATGCGGAGAAATGACCTTTCAGTGTGCTTACTTTTTTTTTTTTTCTAAGATTTTATTTATTTATTCATGAGAGACAGAGAGAGAGAGAGAGGCAGAGGCAGAGGGAGAAGCAGGCTCCCCGCGGAGCAGAGAGCCCGATGCGGGGCTCGATCCCAGGACCCCGGGATCATGACCTGAGCCGAAGGCAGCCGCTTAACCGACTGAGCCACCCAGGTGCCCCTCCGTGTGCTTACTCTTAAACTGCACTTAGGCTGAAATTAATACTGTAATTTCAGTACTGTCACTGATTTGGGACTGACCAGCATGGGATGCCTCCTACCCTCCCTCCCCCAAAATGACCTCTATCCCAATCAAGGATGGCTTCATATATCCAGGTCCAGCCTGAGCTGAAGGTATTATCATCCACATCATCATATCAACAGTTACTAAGTGCTTACTATGTTCGTGTAATAAGTGTTGTAAAGATGAGCTCTCCTAATACATGCTGCCTGAAGAGACAGGCATTATTATCTCCACTTTACTGATGAGCGAACAGGTTCAGAAAGGGTTAAGCAACTAACCAAGGTCCCAGTGGTTGTATACAGGTCATGTATTATTACCTTATGTCAAACACTGGTATGGGTTTTAACACCACTAAAATTCAACTCTCTAAGTAGAAAGAGACTAGTAGTTTAGTTTTATCAGATAATCAGTTTTAAGGCACACTGTTGGCCTTCAACATATAGGTGAAAATATACATATCTATATATGTATATCCATATATACATAAAATTCCCACCCTCTGCCCACATACATGGTGGGAGGGTGGGGGATGGAGGTAGGTGTGAAAGCCAGAGCCAGAAGAACTGGCATCTACCTTAAAAAGCACAACCTAGAAAAGGTTACTATTTTATTACATGTGCAGGTTGAAATTACCATTTCTCACAGATCTTGCTTTTGTTATGAGGGTCCTAATAATCAAGATTAAAAGGCCTCCCTGTCTTCCTTAGTGAATGAGATGAGTCAAAGATAAAGCTACTGTAGAACTTGTTACTTAAAAGTACATCAAGAATTCTTTGCGAAAGGGAAAATCATTCCCTAATATATATTTTTACATAAAAATTTATCAACAAATGGTTTAGGCTAGTCAACTATGAGATACTACCTACATATTCTGAAGAATAAACCCAAAGAATAAAGCAGAGTGACAAAGTACATGAATGTTCTCTTTTACTGGATTTCACCAGTAAGATCTGCACTCATGGGAAAAGCGAGAGGCTCTGCTTTTTATTTTTTATTTTTAAACATTTATTCATCTTTTAAAAATAGAATCACATAAATGAAGAACTTGAAACATCCCCCAGGGATTACACTGCCCAAGCCTTTTATTGACAAGTGAGGAAACTAAAGGATAGAGGCATTTTATGTGGTGGCTTAAATGGCCTGAACATTATACAACATGGAGTCACAGGGCAAGGAAAGTGTTTTATTTTAATTATTTTAAACATTCTGTGTCAAAGAAAAAGCTTCAATCTGGTGCTAGTATGCTTTTATAACCTCTGTAACGCTTGCTCCTCTCGCCTTTCAACAGACAAAAAGCAGACTTCAGGCTGAACCTAACACCACCAGTGGTATCCAATCAAAACTTACTAATTTTGTTTCACTTCCATCTATTTTTACCATGTGTTCTATTTGTAAAAAGGGCATATTAGTTTTATGTGATAATCAGCAATGACACAAATTTTCCTTTTAATGAATTTAAGTGAAAAGTCAATATATCTGAAGAAAAACACAAAATGAGAGAACAAGTGGTATGAAAGTAGGACAAAAATCATACACAAATGCCTGAATGTTGGGAAATAATGCACTGGTTCATGAAAACATTTAAACTGGCCAAACTCTCTGACATCCCAATAATTCTTTTAAAGTATTTGCCCTCTAACCTAGCAGTTTTAAGAAAGGATGCCACACACTGGAATAGATTAACCTGTCTTAACTGTACTATTTTGGAATTTTATGAAATTATTTTAAACAGTTATTAGTTAATAAATTAGCAACAGCAACATTTAAAAATCCTCCCAATAAATAACATGCTGAAATTATTCCTCTTAGTACACAAATAATATTCACCAAAGCACACAATGTTGTATATGAACAAAAAGAAGCTAAGGAAAAGTCATACCATCTGTCTTTGAATGACTTGAAATATTTAAATCACATCCTTTTCCAACTTCCATCTTTGTTTCTCTTACTACAGGGCTATTTCCTGCTGAAAACAAAATTTTAAAAAAATTGTTTTATTAAACTAAACGACTCTTATATCAAATGCCTAATTGCACATACCTAATTTAAGAAGGTAGCAGTATCTAAGATTTTAGAACAAGCAAAATACAACATGCTGGGGAAAGAGGAACACTAAGACAAAGAATAAGAAAAAAGAAAAAATCTGAGACTAGAAAACGTCTTACTGTATCATTAGTAAACTCAACTTTACCCACCAAATATAGATGAGAGAGAATTCAGCCTACTATAGCATTCAATTCGCACTAAGAGACTAAGTGCATGAATGACGTCAGAATTTAGAAGAAGCTATGCTATCTTACAACACCAGATATTTCCAGGGGCCTGCTGCTTTTCACTAGCTACTATCAAACTAACGTGACACCGCTTCCCCTAGAACAGGGACTGCCTCACTTCCAACTTAGGAACCGTCGGTCAATACGTGGTGAAAAGAAAACGGGGGAAAACTTCACAAGGATGGCCGTGTTGGAGGCTTATGTATACTTTGTCAGTTTCCATATACCCTGCTTATACCAAGCAACAGCAATGGAGAAAATGGGATGATAAATTTATAAATTCTAACCAAGTCTACGTGTGAATCGGGATATCTAAATTCACTGCATGTTGTATGCTTAGATCTCAAACCCTTTGTGGAAAAGGCAGAGTAGTAATGAATAAATCCTATCTTGCATGCTAGAAAAGAACGGGGGTCTTGAACCCCAAGTGATGACCCTGAAAGGCTGGAGAGTCAGGGCAAGGGAAGGACTCCCTGCTGTGTCACTGGGAACAATGGTACGGGAGTTCTGCAGCCAGGGGAAAAGGAAACAAGGTTTTGGTGACACCCAAAGGGTAGAGGCACAGAGGGCAAACACATGGATTGCCTATTTACACATTTTATAAGACAGTATGCAGCACTTTGGGTTTGCTCAGTAGGAACTACAGGCTGAGGTACCTAGTGTAATCAAAACATGGTCAAGATCACTGATGTAGAATGAATAAATCCCAGGGTCCTATCTTTTGAAATCAATTAAAATTTGGGCAGAAAATATTCAGTGTTAGCATGTTTCAGTGTTAGGTTCTGGCCTGATCTGATGATCCAGTGCAGTAGGCTGAAGACTGAAGAGCAATGAAAACTTCATGTCTACAGAGGGAGAGGAACCGAATACCAGGGCTGTAACCGCCCAGAAACCCAGGAGCCGGCTGACTCCGAGTAGGCTGTGTCACGTGCCTTCAAGGAGCGATCATTGGAGTTATGCCTTTTGTTGATAACTGCCCATTGCCAGGGCCATCGTAGGAGGGCCTTCCGTGCCCTTTTAAGGAATATTTACTTAGAGTGAGCTGTCTGAGATCTTGTACTTTACTGAATAAATAATGGATAGATGAAAGGAGCTTTATCCTCCTTTTTCCACCTTCCATTCATCTATCAGTATACGTCCCGGTATATATTAGCTGTCAGTTCTGTCTCTGACATAGTACAAAATGGGCTCACCCTTGTGGTGATAATCCAGTCTTCCGTACTCACAGAAATGCTGCCAACAAAGTCCTACTAGCAATGGTTCATACACGTAAAAGGTTCTGAGGGCTGCCTATGGACCATCTTTAAGTGGTTAGCCACTTCTATGGACTTAGTTTCCAAGATAAGCCTGGTATATCACTGACTGGAACAAGTAGAGATTGAGTATACTCCACTGAGAGACACACAATGGCTACCGTGCTGCTTTAACTTTATTGTTTTTCATAAAAGTAATAATCAAAGTTCATATAAAAATCCAGCTGTCACATTAAGAGCCAAGAGTAACATAATAAAATGGAAAAATTTCCCCCAGATGATAGTGATACACAGGACTGACTGAGAAGAATCACTGGAGAAGCATTTTTGCCATCCTAAGTCAACAGCACTCATGAGCTCAGTAACATCTTAAATTAAGAGATATCTTTAAAAATATACATAACCTTGATTATGAAGAATATCATCAATTACAGTAGGAACCCTCACATCTGGTCCCACCTCTCCCCTAGAATGATACGGCTGTGAAGCACCTGACTCAACGTTTGGAGTCACGATAGCATAACGAAGCAGTTCTTCATACTCTTCCTGTGAGGAGCCAATAACAAAGAATGTATTATAACAGTCACAATGGACATTCAGGCAAAGAACAATAAAGGCCCAGTTAAAGATGTTCTCTACTTCAGTTCTCAAAATAGTATTCCCATGTCATAAGGAATGTGTACTTTCTTAAAACAAAACAAATCCAACAAACCTATCCAGATTTCTTCCAGTGATAGTACCTTAGTACGATTCCTTCAGCATGTCAATTTTGCAATGGTGAGACAAAGCTTACCTAGAGAACTTGTCTGAAGCCAATCAACAGCTCCAAGGCAGAAGAGTGCTCCCTCAATTGGCAGCTACTTGCAGGTGGGCAGAGACACGGTTAGCCACTTCTCTGCTTTTCTGAAACTTAGTTTGAAGATGTTGCTCCCAGGGACGCCTGGGTGGCTCAGTTGGTTAAGCGTCTGCCTTCGGCTCAGGTCATGATCCTGGGGTCCTGGGATGGAGCCCCGCATCGGGCTCTCTGCTCAGCAGGGAGCCTGCTTCTCCTTCTCCCACTCCCTACCCCCCTGCTTGTGCTCTCCCTCTAACAAATAAATTTAAAAATCTTAAAAAAAAAAAAAAAAAGATATTGCTTCCAAAGACTTCACATTAGGACAGTCTAGGGATGAAAAGGAGTTTTGACTCTGCTTAATGACAGCCACAATCCAACAACCCACTCAGCAACAACCCTGAGTCTCTTTTCATAGCATGGAAAGAGTATAAGGGAAATATTGGAAGAGAACAAATACTGAAGATAAAAAGAGAACATGAATGCAAACCTATTCCACTCTACCTGCTGACACCTTCATGGCACATGAGAAAGGAGTGATAAAACATAGAGGTTATAAACTGTAGACCTTACAAGAATATTCCTCAGGTTTAAAAAAACTTGGAATTTCCTAACATAGATACTTCGTTATTTCTTTAGCCAAATAAAAAAATGGTATCTGTGAAGTAAAAAATATAGTGGAATTTAGTCTCTATTAACAAGGGATTGGTCATGATGTAACAAATATTTCTACTAAAAGGAGTCATTTTTAAGAGTCTCACGCACGGACCCAGACAATATCTTTGCATTAAAAAAATTGGGGGGAAGGTTTTCAAGAATGTTAAATGTTATTATTCTAAAGGATTATTTTGTGTTAATTTTTCTCCATAAGAAGTTTAGTTCAGATAGAGAACTATCATCTCATTAGTCATAACTGTTTTATTATTTGGATTCATCTTCAGTGTGAAGATAACCAATGTTTAAAACTACCTCTTTGAAGGGTCATAGTCAATATCTGCTGAAGTGAATTAAGTGAATTCTGCCTAGAATTATCTTTAATAAAACCATGATGATATGGTTGGTATAGTTATTTGAAAATCAGCAGTCCTTCCTTTTTCCCTTTGGTTTTCTGAGTAAGAATATTGAACTACCCACCACACCCAAGTTTCCAGCCATGGTTATATCACAGTTAACTGAAATAAGTGTCCTGGTGTTTCCCAAAGGAACAGACATTACTGCACTCCGAGTTCTATAGTGGGAACTACCTTGTATACCATGTCAGTAGTCAATATCAATGCATTTCAAACTAGTTTCCAAGAAGGTGTTTCAGGGGATCCACATGTTTCCTTCAAATTTCATTTTTAAAGCTATTTAGCTCTTTTACGAACAGTAATAAAAGGAGCATAAGCTAAAAGATACACCATATATGCTAAATTTTAACAGGCCCTAAAGTATAAATTCTTAAATTTTTGTGTTGGTTGGAATAAAGCTGCTTCTGCCATCGATGTACATGTCAAAGTCTTGTAAATGTGTCATGGATTAGAATGGTTGTAGCTCTGCACAAGCCTTTTGTTTTGGAGTCACACCTGTACACATTTCTGCTCATGTAACCTGTACAGGTAAACACACACTGTAACACATGTGGCCACATCAATTTCAAACCACTCAAGCTCAAGCACGTCTGAGGGCGCCAGTCCCTCCTTATGAGAGCGATGAGCTATGCGGTAGCAAACGACTTCGGACCATGTTACATGCTTATCATAACACAAAGAGTTTTAGCCCTTATTCCAAATTTGAGTCTTCTGGGTGCTTCTTCTGTGATTTTTATATTTATTAAAGTTTGAAGAAGTGACAGATTTTGTTGGTGATTCAACACTGAATCAGACATTTTCTATCAATCCTTTTTTATGCTTTGGATCAGTTGATTTAAAAAGTTACCAATTTTTCATAATGCATAGAGAAACTGAATCACTATGTTGTACACCTGAAACTAACATAACACTGTGTGTCAACTATACTCAAAACAAAACAAAACAAAACAAAAAAGCTTCCATTTTCAACTACTTATATTAAGAATTAGAATTTTCTTTCTTTTTTTTTTTTTTAAGATTTTATTTATTTATTTGACAGAGAGAGACATAGTGAGAGCAGGAACACAAGCAGGGGGAGTGGGAGAGGGAGAAGCAGGCTTCCCGCGGAGCAGGGAGCCCGATGTGGGACTCGATCCCAGGACCCTGGGATCATGACCTGAGCCGAAGGCAGACGCTTAACGACTGAGCCACCCAGGCGCCCAAGAATTAGAATTTTCTTGATATCACGTAGCCCAAATAAAATATAGAAGCAAAAAGGTCACTTAGGTTAATCAAACTATGCTGGGCTTCTTTATCCACCAACATCAAATGTGCGTTTATAAAGGCAGCTTCACTGTTTTTGCTGACTTTGTGAGAAATGTCACAAATTTGCATTTATAACATAAATTTATACAATTATATTTCTGCTTTAGCCTTTTCCTATTGGAATTTGAAGTAAAATTGTTTGAAAAGAGGTTTTATGCTGGTAGATGTTTGAAAACTGCTAGTCTTTAGGGTAATTAAATGCAAAGAAGTGACTTGGTTTCAGTTTCAGCCTTGATCTGCATATTTAACATAGATTACTTATATACAGTAAATGTTAGTCATAGCAAACACAGCTCTTTACATGTCATGGCTAATGGCAGAAGAGAAACAGATACTCCAAAGGGAGAATCATTAGAAAGAAAACTCAATCATCAGAATTTGGGGCGCCTGGGTGGCTCAGCCGGTTAAGCATCCAAGTCTTGGTTTCAGCTCAGGTCATGATCTCAGGGTAATGAGATCAAGCTCTGCGTGGGTCCCCCCTCAGAGCAGCGTTTGTTTGAGATTCTCTCTCCCTCTCCCTCTGCCCCTCCCTCCCACCCTTTCTAAAATAAATAAATAAATCTTTAAAAAGAATCACCTTCATATTGCTATGGTCAACTCCTTTGTTAGAGACGTCCCCTTTATAATAATAAACACATGTCTGAGTTTTAAACTTACATTTCCTGACAGAAAATAAAAGCCAGTATTTCACATGATCCTTATCACTGAGGCAGGAGGCTCTTTTTTTTTTTGAGATTTTATTTATTTATTTGAGAGTGAGAGAGGGAACACAAGCAGGGGGAGTGGTAGGCAGAGGGAGAAGCAGGCTTCCCACTGAGCAGGGAGCCCGACGTGGGACTCAATCCCAGGATCCTGGAATCACGACCTGAGCTAAAGGCAGACACTTAACCGACTGAGCCACCCAGGCGTCCCTACAATTCTTTAGATTTAAATAATCTTAAATTTTAAAAATATATTTCCTGAATCACATCAGTTTCCCAGTTCTTACAATAAAAGGAAATACCCAAATAGTTTGATAAATTGAAGCCATACACAAGATAATCTACTGGTTTCTATAAAACTGAATGAGTCAGTCCTAACAAAATATATAAAATTTCAAGTTTAGTAACTCCCTGCCACAGAGAAGGCTAACAGTCCAGCAACATCCGTTTTCCCTTTATTCCTGTAAGTTACTAAAACCTCAGGGTTTAACCTAGGCAGATTGTTACTGGCCACGCAGCAACATTTCTCAACCTCCCTTTCAGCAGGTATGGCCAAGAGACCTGGTCTATGGGATCTGGGTGGAAATGAAATGTACAACTTCAGGTCATGTCCTTGGAAAGGAAGCTGCTTGCTTACGACTCAGCTCTTCCCATGGGTTAGAGGTGGTGGTGAGCTAGCACCCAATGATGCAAACCTGGTCAACACCCCCGGGCATGGCGGAGCAACATGAGAAAGAAGCTGGGTCCTCAGATGAACTCAGGACTCTCTATCAGCTCTGACTTACAAGAGGCTATATATCAGCTCAGGCTTTGAAGCAATTCACTTAAGCAACTCTTATTTGGTTCCTGTTAAAGTGGCCAAAATAACACCCTATTATACTTCCCAAACAGCCAAAATAAACTTGATTTTGGCTAAGAACATAGAAAAATGTGGCTGTTAGACACTGAATGTCTGTGTCCTCCCTAAATTCATATACTGAAACCTGAATCCCCAAAGCAGCTGTATTTGGAGATGGGGCCTCTAAAATAATTAAGGTTACATAAGGTCATAAGGGTGGGGTGCTGATATGTCAGGATTAGTGTCCTAGGAAAAGAGGACAAGAGTTCTCTCTCGGCCCATGCACGTGCACTGAGGAAAGGCCATGCTGAGGACTCAGCGAGAAGGCAGCTGTCTGTAGGCCAAGAAGAAAGAGCTCACCAGAAACGGACCTTGCTTTGGTACATCCAGCATTCAGAACTACGAGAAAATAAATTTCTATTGTTTATGCCACCCAATCTATGGTGTTTTGTTATGACAGCCCAAGCAAACTAATACAGTGGCTATCCTGTATTTGTATTTTGAGGTCAATTAACTTTTTAGTTGGTGGCAATTATAACTAGATTTAACCAAATCAGCTTTGCTCAGTCAGAGTTAGTTTATTACAACTTCCTGCCTATAAAGGGAGGGGAAGTAAAAGTCAGTGGCTTTAACTTGTAGCTTCCCTAAACTGTCCTCTGTTCTGGATCAGAAAAGAAAAAAAAAAAAAGAAAGAAAAAAACCAAACATATATTTCAAAGCTTCCACAACAATCACTATGACTTAAGGGAGAAGTAAGTAGGTATATATTAACAGTATTCTATGTATGTATGTTAACTTATCTTAGGTAAGATTAAAATATCAGGTATTTAAACAACTATTTTAGTTTCATATGTGTAGATATGGGCCAAATGCGCTATTTTTTATTTAAGGATCAAAATAAATAATATTGTCTTTCTTACTTGTCAAAGATAACCTGTGTTAAGGTAAACAAGAATCCTAAAGGAACAACCAAAACTTGTAATTTTGCTCCCGACCAACAACAGTTGGGACTGGTGTGACCCTGAACTATAGCTGAACCCATACACACCACGTAAGGTCAGGGCAACCGGCTGACAGTGTGGAGTTGTGCTTAGAGGAAGTTATCAGTCAGTAAGTACCATGGATGCTGCCCATCCCTCAGCATTTATCAACGATAGTTTTATGAATCATTCACATAACTGAGACAGTGAAGAAAACTCCCTTAGAAGGAATATTGATTTATAAGGGGCTTTAGGATTAAATGTTTAGTTTTACGTATTTACTATATATGTAAAAGCATATAGTTATTTTATGTTATATTTAACATCATTTTTGGTATTTATGTTTTGAAATGTTTCCAGTGATGGAAATATAGGCAGGTTTTTAACTGTCATTGAAAACTAATGGAGTTGTGGCTGAGGGTAGCTGAGGGTTACTAATAAACAGAATCTCAGTTCGGTTGACATTCTAAGCCGGTAACCAGTAACACAAAATTATTTTTGGCATATTTCTCTCAAATTCTACTCTGGAGATTTATTCTTTTGATGTAAAGCTTTGTCTCCTGACAAACTGACAACTTGAGAACTTACAAGGTGTTTACATTTTTTAAAGGGTTCTAAACCCAACAACGACAATGTGTGGGGGTTTTTTTCCCACCAGCAACAAGCTATTCTCAGTCACTAGGTGAGTGTCCTACAATTCAACTCAATTCTGACACTATCCACTGCAGATAGCATCAGATTCCACAGAGTAAGGGCTCAGTCCCATAAGACTTCACCTCCCCCAACCCAAACCTCAGACACCAGTAGCAAGTCCAAGTCATTACCTAAGCTTATGATCAACCAGCTACACAGACTGGAGGTTCCAAAGATCCCCCTCCCCAGGTTAAATTTGCTAGAGCAGCCCACAGAACTCAGAGAAACATTTTACTTACTAGATTACCAGTTTATAATAGAAGGATATAACTCAGAACAGCCACATGGAAGAGACACAGGACAAGGTATGGGGAAGAGGGACAGCGCCTCCATGCCTTCTCCTAGAAAGCCAGTCACCCAGCATCTCTATACATTCACCAAAGCTGGAAGCTCTCTGAATCCTCTTCCATTGGGTTTTTATGGAGGCTTCATTACACATGCACAATTGATTACATCATTGGCCATTGGTGGCCGAACTCAATCTCCAGCCCCTCTCCCCTTCCTGGAGCTCAGGGTGGGGAGGACTAAAAGTTCCAACCCTCTGAACATGTGGTTGGCTCCTCAGCAACCAGCCTCTATCCTTAGGTGGGGTCCAAAAGGCAAATCGTTAGCATAACAAACACATTTATCACTCTCATTATTTAGGAAATTTCAAAGGTTTTTGAAATTGTGTGCAAAAAACAGGGATGAAGACCAAAATACATTTATTAAAAATCGATCACAAGTATTGATGAGTTAATCAGTTCTCTCCTGAAGGAAGTTTGGAAAAGTCAGAGATAAAAACTGCAGGAAAGCACTGTACTTAAAAGACAGCACTAGTAGAAGTACATCCAAAGGGAAACCAAGGATGAAACATCTACGCCACAGTTCTAGACTACTTTTATCCTAGTAAATAGTCACAGGTATTTTTCCAATATCTTCCTAATTTCTAAATCTGTAATTTCAATTAAAGGAACATATATGTTTCATAAAATATCTTCCTAAAACTCTTTTCATATTATACAGTGTCAATAACAACTTACTCTTATTTAGACAAAAACATAATGTCCAGCTTTTCCCCTCGTAAGTGACAGAACTATAAAACTCAAGATATACCATATCAGACTCTCTCTTTTAAAATCTATTCTAGAAATCTGAATCTGTATTTCTGATAATAAAACATTTAGAAATAAAAAGAAATTTAAAACAGTTCATGTAAAAACCACACCATTTATCTGTCACCGTCCAGGTCCTGTGCAGCAGAATGCGCTGAACGTTGTAGCAACAGGGATTAGAACCTCGAGTAGAACACGAGGGAATCTAAGTCCCCAGGTGGTTTGATATTGTACTAATTTGCATTAAAGTGAATGCAGCATTCAGGAGATAGCTACAATGAAAAAACCTCAAGAAAAAAAAAATTTCTTGAGATTTCCAGCTTCTCTCATTGTGCTGTTTGAAGCTTTTGCACGAAGAGTGAAGAGTTCATGATTATTTTCTGAAAGGTTCAAACAATGTAAGGTATGTCCCAAAGTCTGTGAAATAATTCTCGACATTTGGTATTAGTATAATTTGATATACACTATATACAAAACATAATTATAAATGTAAATTTACATGAATAAGTGAAAAATGTATTCCTAGTTTTCCCTCATATTGTCCCTTGTTTAAACTAAATAAGCCACAACAAATTTAGACATGTCTTCCTACCTGAAGATCTGAAGACACAGAACTGGCCTGGTCAGAGTCATTCTGTATAACAGGAAGCGAGCCTTTCTCTTCATCTGATGACATTCTGCATAAACTATAACACAATAGAAACTCACTTGATATTTAAACTAAAATAACATGTTTCCTATAGATATAGATTCACATCCTATCCTGTAAACAATAATCCCGTGAAATATTAAAATCACTCAACATATTGAGCCCCATAGACAAAATAACTAGGCAAGGAAAAAAATAGTAAAAGACTCAATTCCCAACATCAGTGAGTTTTTAATGTAGTCAAGGAGATAACACAAATATATGAAAGGTTAAAGAGAAATGGGAGCTTGTCAGACACATCCACAATGGGGTCTGTTGAGAATAATCGATTGTGATTAATATTCTTTTTTTTTTTAAGATTTTATTTATTTATTTGAGAGGGAGAGTGAGCAAGAGAGAGAGCACGAGGGCGGGGGGGGGGGGAGCAGAGGGAGAGGGAGAAGCAAGAAGCAGACTCCCCACCAAGCAGGGAGCTGGATGCAGGGCTTGATCCAGGGACTCCAGGATCATGACCTGAGCCTAAGGCAGATGCTTAACCAACTGAGCCACCCAGGCGCCCCATGATCAATGTTCTTGAGCAATGTGTGGCAACCTGTGTGCTGTATGTTTTCCTGTAAGATACTGAACCAAGAGAGAATGAACAATTTGTGCAAATTCTTTGCTCGAGAAACTTACAATTCAGGAATATTATTTTAAGGAAAGCAAGACTATACAGAACAATAGATTCTTATATGCCATAGAAAAATTGTTGAAAGTCTTAACCAAAAAAATAAAACAAGCACTTTTAGTAACACGTAAATAAATTATTTAAAGGACGAGTAGTGGGGCACCTGGGAGGCTCAGTCGTTGAGCGTCTGACTCTTGGTTTTGTCTTAGGTCATGATCTTGAGGTCCTGGGACTGGGTACTCAGCGTGGAGTCTCCTTGGGATTCTCTCTCCCTCTCTCTCTCCCACTCCCCCTGCTTGTTTCTGTTCTCTTTCTCTCTTTCTCAAATAAATAAAAAATCTTTTAAAAAAACCATAAAGGACAAGTAGTAACTATTCAAACTATTTGAACACCAGTTACATGGAAGACAATGGTGAGAAATCTAAGATGAAGAAGCCCTGTCCTCATGGACTTTATAATCTGTACAGAAAGCCAGACATATATAGAATATAAATGACTAACAAAATAAAAGCTAGTAGACCCTAAAACAACAGAGGTACACAGCAGGAAGGAGTAGCTATTTCTCATGGGGTGGGATCATGAGGGTGAAGAAGCGGGAATGGAGCCAGAGTAGGTTTTCACTGAGGAGATGAACCTACCCGGTTCTGAGACCTGACAGACAGATAAAAGATGTTAAGGATATGCCAGGCATTAGAGCAGCAGAAGCAAAGACCCAGAGGCACGGGAATGTATGCCAGGAACAAAAGTAGATTGTAAGGCTGAAGCAAAGGGTGCAGAGCAAGGCTTGGCTAAGGATGGAACAGGCAAGCTAAGGGGCAGCCAGAACATGGAAGATCAGGATAATGTCAGGTCAAAAACATGTTGTCTCTACTCTAGAGATGCTACTGAAATGTTTTAAACAAGGGATGACATGATAAGGCTTGTATTGTAATGTTGACGGCTTCCAGATTTCCGGCTTGGTAATCAGACGGATAATAGTGCCACTCTCCAAGGCAAGACATGGAGGAAGGTAAGCAGGTTGGGGGGGAAGGACAATGGGCTCAGTGTCAGATGAGCTGGGTGTGAGGCCCCTGTGAGGCACTGAAGTGAAGTCACAGATACCGCCCTTCACAATGGCTACAATATGAATGGTGCTTTCTGGAGTTAAGCAATGAGGGAGCTCTGTCCTGGAGGTACAGGCTAGAGATAAAGTTTGAGGAATCATCAGCATAATGGGAAATACTGAAAATGGGAGAGGATAAGATCACATATGAAAAGGAGTGTGAGAAAGAGTTCTTACTCTGAGGTCCACACAAATTATATGCAATATTTTTAGTATAAATGCACATGTGTGTTTTTCTAGTAAGGGGATCCTTAGCTTCTAATATGTGTTCAGAGGGGACTATAACCCTAATAAAGTTAAAGGTCTACTACTGTAGTGAGAAGAGATTAAAAACTAGAAACACGTAACATTTAAAGGAGAAGTGAAGAGCCAGCAAAGACAGAAAAGGAGGTCAGAATGGTAGAATTATCAGAAAGAAAAGCATCATAAAAACTTGGGGAAGGGAGTGCTTAAAGTCAGATGCCAAAGAAAGATGAAAATTGGGGTCTCCTGAATATGGCAGGAAGGAAGTTGCGGACATTTACCTAACCAATTTCAGTGGAAGGTGAAACAGGTCTCAATCACAGCGGCCTGAAAAATAAATGAGATAAGGAAACTGAAGTAGAAAGGGCAGACACAGGGAAATGTACAATATTAGAATGGAAACATAGGTTGAGACTTGTTCATGGAAACAGCTTTATTCAATGAGTATTACTGTGTACACAAGTGATAAGTAAACTAAATCGCAGCATGACTGTCTTTAGTTAAGCCAATTAGGGAGGATAAAATAAGCACACACATGCCCAGCAAGGAAGGGCTGCTTCACGGACATCAAATCCGTAACCTGCTTCATTTCTATTTTCATTCACTTCTTTTAGGATGTATTTGCATACCCAGTAGATAGTAGGAGTGGAGGTGGGCTGGTGCTGATTACACAAAAAACAAATAAGCTGAAAAGTTGGGTCTGACTTCAAAAAGAGTCTCTGAATAGATACTGCAGCCATAAAACAACTACTGTATTTTTGGAAACTATGCCATAAGTCTTCCATCTGCCCTGCTTTGATGCCAGCAAGGAACGACAGCTTCTTTGAAACTCTACAACCGTAGCATTTTCTTACTGTTTCTAGGTTCAGAAAGAAAGGAGAAAAAAAATGAAGCTTGCTTTAATGGGCGGCAGATGTTAATCAGTTGGCTAAATTTCCAATATTCTCTAACCCAAGGTACCAGAAACCATGAGATAAGACGTTGTGGGTACTTCTCGATTGCCAAAGAAATCAAATTACGTCTTGGTAAATATCTGGCTGATAAGGAGAGAGGGGTCCGGGAATTCAAGTGTAACCCCAAGAGACAGAGGAAGAGTGAATTAACGTGCAAGCTGGCAGCAGGGTGACGTCCCTGCGCTCTTCACCCATCTTAGCTGCAGGAGAGGGGATGCGCCAGCCCCGCCCCACGTAAGGGGCTAGAAGCAGAGGAGGACAGCAGTTGTGAGTAACCAAAGGGCTAGAAGTTCTCTTCGATCACCTTCTTGCCCACCCTTGTTTGAATCAAACCTAAAGCGTTAGCCAGGGTTACTTTTCCCCTTACGTTTTAAATGAAATAATAAAACCGGAACCTATGGCGACAGTAATCGCTATACTTCAAGTACCCCTCACTCCCGCCCTCTCTTCCCGGACGCCTTGGAGGGAAAACTTCTGCACCCTGTCGGCCCGCAGAAGAGCACACAGCCCAGGTCTCGGGGAAGACGCCCCCGGCTCCGTGGTGTACGAGTCCCGGGAGCGGAAACCCGAGCCGCGGCACTTGCAACCCCACTCCACTGCCTCCGCCGGGGACGCGGGGCCCGCGGCGGCGCCGCTACCCACCGTCGCGCCTCTCCACAAACCCGGATGCCTGCCTCCCCGCCGGCGAAACAACAGCGGTACCGCGGCTACCTTGGCAGCAACCTGACAGTTTCAAACTGCAGAGAGGAATAAAGGACGGCCCTGTGCATTGGCCCCGAGCTTCAGCAACATGGCATTTGATTGGTCCCAGACTCTCGGGGGCGGGGCTCTGGACAGCTGCGGAGAGACGCCGGAATTAGGTTACTTAAGGAGAGCCCCGCCCCCGGCACCGGCGCATACCGAGGGGGCGGAGCCTTAGGAAGCCCCGCCCAGCGTTTGGGAGCTACAGTACTGCGCGTGCTCAGTTCCCTGAGGCTGGAGACTGAGGTGGCTCTGGGACCAGATTCGGTTAGAGGATGCTGAGGTGGGCTGAAGTCCGCCAGGGCGGTATGTTGTAATCTTTTTTTTTTTTTTTAATTTTTATTTATTTATTTGACAGAGAGAGACACAGCGAAAGAGGGAACACAAGCAGGGGGAGAGGGAGAGGGAGAAGCAGACTCCCAGCTGAGCAAGGAGCCCGATGCGGGGCTCGATCCCAGGACCCTGGGATCATGACCTGAGCCGAAGGCAGACGCTTAACGACTGAGCCACCCAGGCGCCCCAGTAATCTTTCAATAATACCCGAAGCCCATGCGTGTGGTCCTCATGCATAAAAATCATCTGCGTCGGTAATGCCCTGCAAGAGAATCACTCGGAGGTGCTTTTCAAAAGTACGAATTCCTGACACCCACCCCTCTGCTTGATTCCTTCCGTCTTAGAGCCAGGGAATCTGAATTTTTAACAAAGACCACCAGTGATTTTGATGGAGTGGTCAGCGGACCACGATTTAAGAAACTGCTGGACTAGGTTTTACTAATGACCTCAAAGTTGTCAGATTGCAAGTCAGGCCCTTCTGGCGAAGTGACTATGAACCTTAGAATAATCAGGTCATAATTATATCCTGGCTCTACCGCCTATTCACTGTCACCTTGGATAATGCTACCCACATAATAGGGTTGTAGGGAGATTAGATGAGCTAATATATCTAAAATACCTATTACACAACATCAAAAATACTAGTCTTTAGATTTGTATTGGCAACAGATATGGCGGAAGGTACATTAGGATCCAGGATGCAAAGGGAGCACCCCAATCTGGAGACCAAGTAATGAGGTCTGGGTGAGTTTTCAGGCTCCCTTTGTTACCTGGAGGATGAGGTGTCCGGGTTTTTTATTTGTTTCTTTGTTTCCATAGATAGAAATGGCATAACCTGGGTCTCATCTACCTACTTGTTGGCAGAGCCAGACTTCTCTTGTACAAACAATGAAGAAGAGCCAGCAGTTTCTTTGGAACAAGCTATGCTTGTGTTCCTCCCCCAAATCCCCTCTTTCCCATGGTTATTATAAACAGAACAAATTCCTGCTAATGCATATGAATTCATATCTGGTTGAGATCGGTGTTTTTGAATTGAATTGCCACCTGGTGACTCCATACACTGTGATTGTTACTGATACACTTATCCTTTTGCTCTCCTGCCACTTGGCTCCATGTTGCTCTTCTTTCTCTTCTCTCTTTTAGGGGGTAGATTTTCCTAGAAAACCATTGGGTAAGACATCTCCATTCTTCTGTGAAGCTACAGACAGAAAGAGACCAAACCTAATCTGGATGTTATGAATTTAACACTGATTCTTTTCCCAAGCTTCCTAGAGAAGGGCAGAGGGGGAGAGATGGAGGGAGAGAATCCAGCACCCGTAAATTCATAGTAATTAAATTGCTAGCTTGAACCCTTCATAATTACTCATTCAACAAATATTTATCTAACATTCATCGTATGCAAAACATTTTGTTGGTGTTAGGAATAGAGTGGTGAATGAAATAGACACAGTCTGCCCTCACAGAACTTAGAGTCTAATGGGAAAAAACACATCAAAGAGCAAAAGACCCCCACACATGTGAATAAAAAATTATGAATTATGTTTGAAGAGAGGAGAAATCAGGAGATGCCTGTCTGACAAAGTACATTTAAGCTGAGACCTGAAAATGAACAGGTAAAGAACTTATTTTATCTAATAAACACACATGTGTTACTATGTTCTGGGCCCTGTACTCATTAACTCATTTAATTTTCAGATCTCTATGATATAAATGCTATACCCATCCACATTTTACAGATAGGGAAACTGAAGCTCAGAGAGTTTATGTGGCTTGCCTAGGATCACATAGCCAATAAGAACAGACCTGGTGTTCAAATCAGGGTAATCTGGACTCCAAAGTCCATGTTTTTATCACTCAGTATGTTCTGTTGAGAACAGCATGGCAGTTATGGATTGGATGGATCCTCCAAAAAAGATAGTCAAGTCCTAACCCCTAGTACTTGTGAATATGATCTTACTTGGAAATAGGGTCTGCAAATGTAATCAAGTTAAATGAGGTCATTCTGGATTGGGGTAGGGCCTATCCAATAACTAGTGTCCTTATAAGAGAAAGAGATACAGGGAAGAAGATGGAGGTATTACTGAGAGTCAGATAGAAAAGTTCAATTTTAAATATGCTGTCTGAAATGCCTAGAGATACTCAATTGCACTGTCCATTAGGCCATTTGACATACATGTCTAGAGCTCAGAAGAGATCAGGACTCAGATAAATAAATTGGGGAGGCTTTGCATATAGATCTGTGGAGGACTCCAAAATGGCTCCAATTCTTCATCTCTCCCTATCAGTGTCCTTTGCCCTGCCCTCTCATTAATGGCCAATGGGATGTTAACAAACATGATGGAAGCCACGGCTTTGAAGGCACTTGGCTTGGCTTACTCATGCCCTCTTTTATGATCATGGGAACAATCCTAGACTAGCCAGTTGGAAGATGAAAGACATGTATGTTAGACTTGAGGGGCCTGGTCATCCCAGTGGAGGCCATCTGATACTGGTCTATAGCCAGGGGACACCCAGACAGTATGTAAGTGCAGTCAAAGATGGCAGGACCACCAGGCCAATCTGCAGTTGTGAGCTAAGTGAATGTTGATTGTTTAATGTCACTGTGTTTTGGGTGGTGTGTTATGTAGATTTACTGTGTAAGAGATAACTGATAAGATGCAATTTAAAGCTAAGGAACTAGATGAGACAGCCTTGGGGGCGGGGGCAGGGAGTGGGGAGAGTAAGGTGAGTAGAGAAGAGGGTTGAGAACAAACCCTGGAGTCAGCTGATATTTAGGGATGGGTATCAGTGGAGGAGCAGCAAAGGAGACTGAGAAGGAGGGGCCAGAGAAGTGGGAGGAGAACCTCGAGAAGCTTCAGTAAAATGCCAGTGAAGTGACTCATGAGTTTGACGCTATGGAGGCCTTTCCAGGGGACCTGAATTCTGAACCTCTGCTCTAATAATCTTTCATCTTCTTTTAATCGCCACTGTTTTAGATTCGGCCGTTGTTGAGTTTGGCTTGGATTCTTTCTATAGTTGCATGTCTTCATTTCTTCTTTCTACAATTCACCCTTCACAATGCTGACAAATAATCTTCTTAAAATAACATTGCATTGCATAACTTCTTCCTCAAAAACCTTCCATGGTGTTATATGGCATGTGAAGCCCTCCTAAACTCAGAAGATTTAGGCTGGAGTCTTTCAATTGTCCATGTACTAGGTATACAACTTTAGGGAAGCTTTGTATCTTTTATGAGCCTAAGTCTCATTTTTTTTAAAGTTGAGAACCTACCAAAACTAAATCTAAATCTGAACCTGAACCTGAATCAACCTGTCTATCTACCTATGAAAATTATTCCCTCTTGAAGCTGGGGAGATGTCCGCCTAGTTAGATTACATGTCTCAGTCTACTTTGCAGTTGAGTGAGGCGATAGAATATGTGTGGAAGTGAAATGTACCACTCCCTGAACTGGTTTTTAAGACTTCAGTTATGTTTTTTTCTGAGCCTTCTCCTTCCCCACTGTGTTGAATGATCATGTGGAATAAAACTCCTTTGCCAGTTCTGTAATATTAAAAAAAACCTGTTTTTTTCCCTTTAAGTCACTGTATTTTGGGGTCTATCTGTTACAGCCGTCACTCTAATATCGCTTCTAGGTGTGTATAGATGGATATATGACGTTGTTGTTGGGAGGCAATGTATGTGCAAGTATTTGGAAATTTTTTTAAAGTGAGGCAAAATCACATAGGGTTTGGATTCATAAGATTTGGTGTTTAACCTTTTCCAAGAAGTCAGCATGAACCTAACGTGGCTCTTGGTACCTGTTGGGAACACTTACTATTCGTGGTGGCAGGAGTTGAAACCCATGCCATTTTTGCTAAACCTGGGTTAGGGGACTGATTCAAAACCTGTTTCTTTTTCAGGTCATCCCTGACTCATCTAAAAGGGTTTCTGTCTCCTTACCCAAGGACTTGTTTAACTGGGACTTTAAGGGAACATTCCTCAACCTGGGAATCTTTAACGCTGATGACTTGTCCTAGGGTAGCAACTGTAATTTAGCCCATCACTGTGATTTTATGGAGGGATAAATTAGATCTAAAGAGAAATAGATTTGCTTTTCTTGAGTTGCAAATCTGGAGACAGAAAGAGAAAGGCAAGTCCAGAGGAAGGGAAAGGAATAGGGGTGGAGATGGGGAGATTTCAGAGTCAGAGCCCTTGCCAGGGCCTCTATCTGGATAGACGCTGCCATAATCTTCCCTATTTTTCCACCAGACTGCCAGACTCACAGATTTTCTTCCCTTCTTTCTTATCCCAGCTACTCCCCAGTTCAAATGTACCTGCCTTTGCTACAGCCCCTAAGGCTGGATTTTGTTTCTCCCAGTCACAGGTGGCTGTCGTAATAATTTAATCTATACAGAGAGAGAGGAACCAGTCTCCAGAGCGCTCCTCTCCCTGTGAGCTGTGAACACTGGCCTTCTGGAAACAATGTTTTGTTTTGTTTTTTCAATGAGAAAAATGACTTGAAGGTGGAATTTGAGTTTCAGCAGGAAGGTGTGCAAAGAACATGGTGGATTATTTGGGGGCAAGAAGCCCACAGTGCATGTCCCCTAGTAGAACTTCTGTAGCTGGACCACACAGTCTTCATAGAATCCTCCACACACTGAAAGCCAAAACCATGGATTCAT